CCGAATTGATCGGAAAAACGATAAAGATTACATAAATCTACATTGAACATATTTGGGAGTCAAGTAAGTTTTCTAAATCCCAAAGCTCGTAATTAAATGTGACTAGAGATTATGCAAACATCACTCAACTCCAACCCGAGGGTTAGAAGCAACCTCGTGAAAAAGTTTATGGCTCAAGAAGCTGCTTAGGAAAAGCTGGTAGAAAGGCTCTTGGCGAGCGAAGATCAAACATCAGCCTAAGTTCAGAACTTGGCTAAGTCATACTCTCAGTTCAAGCAATTTTGGAGGTTTGTCAGAAAGAAATCGAGATCATGGCTTGTGCGATCTACCAAGCGACACATGACCAATCGACTGACATCATGGGCTTTGCATATCAAAATCCAGATTTGCATATAGATACGAGTTCCTTCATTAGGAACTAATAAGCCGATTCTCTTGGATTTAGATTTATCATGATGGGATAAACCCAATTCATAAATAAGCAACCTCGAAGCCGAGCTAGAAGGCACATGGAACAGATGACGAATTTCCTCACTTATTAAGATATGAATTCGTTGCAATTTGCAAAGTTCAATTAATAAAGTGAATGATCAATGACTCTGAGGTTCCATCAAGCCTTAAGCTCGGCCCTTGAAACACTCACATAAGGTCATCAAGGAAGATTTGGCTATACTAAACAACGTCACATGGACATGCAAACTAACGTCAATCGTTTCCAAATCGTGATGTGAAGAATTCACTTAAATGAATAGTAAGATGACAATGGATATTGTAAATTCTTCGTAGAGTACCTCGTTGGATCATTCTCAATATAGTTAGCGTAGTTAGAAGAGATATTGATTACTATTTCAACTAGTTATTTGTTGCCTTCTTAAAACGTTATATTCGATGTTCATGGAGAATGTGACTTCAGACGTAGACTTGTGTGTTGTCCCAAGGACGCACCAAATCGTTGCACTGGTATTTAACAAAAAATTAAGAAGTTTGTTTTTTTTTTAAATCTCGGTGGAAAGCGATTCAACGACTCTTGATGCTCTTTTCAATGGGTTGTGGCACAAGCCATGATTCAAATTCTAAGACATAACAAGCTTGACCGTAGTCAAAGAAGAAAATGCTTTGTTAGGAGGATGGTAGAAAAAGTAAAAAAGTCAGCTACCAAACTTCAACCGACATAGCAACAAGATAGGAAGAATGGAACAAGTTCACATTCAAAGGGATATGAGTGGCATACATTCAACAATCGAAGGTGATCCGAAGAAAAATCTAGTGGAAACTCGATAAAGAGCATGTGTTGCAATGAGAATGCGATGTGTATGATATCTCAGTGGATCGACTATTTCAGGGTTAAAACATGAACACACCC